GTGTGTGTGTGTCCAGGAGAAGCATGGTGGGGCTGGACCAGAAAGAGCTACACCCAAACCAGCTCTGTCCTGCTTTAGGCTTATCAGAGAGCCCTAATGCAGCAGGAATATGCACACATGCCACGGCCCTTCCTGGGCTGGCTGTATGGAAGATGCATTAGGCAGTTTTACCTGGAAGCAGCATCTCCCAGTTGAGGAGTACTAAGGTAGGTTGAGGCAGGACCAACTGTGGTTCTCAACCAGGGGTGCTGTCACATTCAAAAATGGTGGAGGGGTGCCCTGACTTGAAAAGAGTGAGAACCACTGTAGCAGAGGAAGCTGGGTGCCTTTTCAAGTGAATTAAATCCTGAATAGAAAAATGCTGTGGGCAGAAATAGCAGGGACTGTTTACACTAGTGTCATCAAACACCAGCGCACAAATTCAGTGCAACTTCTATGGCATGGCCTCAGTTTATTCCTATTGTAAAAGCACGTGGAACTGACACATTTAAGAAGCATTAATGTAGCCCCTATTCTCTGTTGTCTAGTCCTTATTTGTAGGGCTTTGTTGCTGCTTGCTCATACATGGGAATCTTCACTGACAATACTTTAAGACAAAAGAAAAGCAATTCGCCTGTGGCTGGAGTTTTCCAAGTGGTGTATCTGTGCAGGTTCATGGTTTCTACCTTCCTTCCCTACCTCTTTAATCTGTTTTGGATGTCAAGGAGACCCAAGGAATTGAGGTTATGTAGCATTAGGCTTCTCACAACTTTACGTGGGATGCTCCTCACGTGGAAAGATCATCCGCATAGCGATAACCATTAGCTATCCATAGGGTTCCAGGCTCGCATGGAGCATGCGTTACAAGCAGTGTGGGTCTGAACTGGCAACCTACTTGAATTCAAGTTACAAGCAACTTCTTCCTTACCGCAGCTGCTATCTGCAGTCAGGTACCTACTAACAGGAGTTGCATGGTAGGATCTTGAAGTAGGTGGACAGTGTACGCATTCTTGATGTAATGAAATCTCTCCCATGCTGTGCTTGTTATTTCAGGTGCCTGTGCAGTCCTGGTTTGATGACATGACAGACACAGAACTGCTAGATCTTATTCCTTTCTTTGAAGGACTAAGCAAAGAAGAAGAAGTTTACAGTATGCTTCACAAACTTTGCAACAGGTAGCCCTTAACTCTGACTGCTGCTGCTAGGTTGCAGTTGCTACGGGCCGTAGCCATCTTTCACAGCTCTTTCAAATGTAAGCTCTGGGGAGGCCTCTCCTGTCAGAAGTGCTACTCTTGATCTTCCTGTTACATTGTACACGAAGGACAATCATGAGTGATGCTATTAAGCCTTCAGAAACCTGACTCCTAAGGTCATGTGTTCAGACTACTTTTTTTAGGAAAAAAAAGAAAAAAAAGAAGCTATTTTAAATGGGACTCTTTTAATGAATTTCATAAATGGACACATTTTACTGGATCAGCTTTTCTTAAAACATGCCAAAAAGAAGCTTGTATTTCAGCAGTCGAATTTCTCTCCCTTCCCCCTCCCACTATGCAGACAGTTTTACCCCCTGCTTAGAGCAGTTGACCTGACTCTGAATTCTTTTCTTACAGAATGAAGTGCCTTTTTGAATGTTATTTTAAGATAAAAAAAAAAAAAAATCATTTTTGTATAAGGTGTATTTCCAGACATCTTTTAGTCTTGTATTGTCTAAAATGCTTTAAAAGGAAAAAGGAAAAAAACAATTATAGAGCACTGTAATATATGGTAACAAAGGAAAAAAGCTGAAACCAAGATGCTGGGTTCCTGTCTCCACGCTGAAGTTGAGTTGTATTACACTTTGTCATGCTTGGAAGGTCTAGGAGCTTGTGTGAGGGGGTAACTTTGGTTACATGTTTGTTGGCATGGTTTTACTCCTTTTGGGCACCATTTGAACATATCTGCAGTTGTTTGTGTTGGGAATCGATGGGGTTGGGGGAAAATATGGTGGCAAGTTAGATCTGGAGTACCTTTTATTCTAGACAGACCAAGTTCTACTGTCTCTGCTTACGCACAACTGCCATGCCTCTCTCTTTTGATCACCACAATGAGAAACCGTTTATCTCAGGAGGGAAGGTAAAGATCTATTTATTAATCTAAAATTGTTATCTTACAGAACCCATTTGGGTAAGCTGGATCTGTATTGAGCTGTTCAGAGTATTTTTTTTTTTTTTTTTCTCCTTGCTGCTACTGTATACTCACCAAATGGAGTTGACCATCGGCTGTTATACTGTTCTTTGCCGCTGTGCCTGTGCCATGAAAACATTTTGCTATAAGCTGCAAACTTGGGCAATAAATGAAAAGCAGGTCCTATTATCCATCCTCATGTATTAAATCTGGGGTATCTGATATGGCAGATAGCTCTGATAAAGGTGACCTGCAAGGGATTTAAAATTTAAACAGTATTGCATTTGCATCCCTTTTTTGTTCTTTTATGATATATGTGAGTATATGTCATAAAAAAGCAATGATCAATTTTCAGACTAGATTTTTTTTCCTTTTTTTTTTCTTTTTCCTATGAAAATGTAAGGAATGTCAACTTTTTTTCCCACTGAAACCAGGAAAACTTACTGAGGATCCCATATGCCTATTGGGAACAATATCCTCTTGCTGAAAGGGCTGGAGGTGTTATTCACACAGAATTTTACTCTTACATATTCCTTAGGTAATGGAGTCAAATAATTGTTAAGCTAGACTTTGATATTGTTTTTAACATTCTAAAAATACCCCTTTCTCAGTCTACTTGACTGTCACCCTTTTGTGGTGTTTTAAGCACACTCATGTTCCATTCATTCAGATTAGACGAAGCCTGAATTTCTAATGTAAAATGTATGCTTTTTTAACCCTTTCAGGTACTTTGAGGCAAAAAAGCATGATCCTTTTTTCCTTTCCAGTGTCATCTTCTAACCATTTTTGCACCAGTAGAAATATTCAGTCATACAAATTATAGCCATATTTGGCAGACATCACGGTTAAACTGAATAGTTGGTGCTTTAATAGCCTACTGTCAAATACAGAGTGGTCGATACTGTTTGCCTTTTTCCTGGTATGGCCAGTAGGAGTTACAAGAAACTGACCTGGATTGTAGTCCTTGACTAAAACATTTACTAAGCAGCTTAATAAATTCATCCAGAAAAGGGTAGGCCGGCCTATGTAGGCTTGGAATAGATTATCACAGGTGCAGGATGACCGAGAGGAGACTTGTCTGCTTGCAGCGCAGCTCTGCACTGAGTACTTGCCATGTGTGGTAGTGAGGGAATTCAAAGCAGTATCATGACATTTGTGAGTCTGTACAGCAACACCTTTTTGTTCTTTCTCTCTATTGCCATTACCCTAGTACTGTATATTTCTGTGCCAGGACAAAAGATAAGTTCTGACAACTTAGAGGAAAAAAAATCTAGATTGTTTAAAAGGACGTATGGATTCTGGTTAGTCCATTAAGTTTTGCATTCGATCTAAGATTCTTTAATTTTGTATTTGAATACAGAGTAACGAAATCATAAACTGCCAAAAAGTTGTTCTCTGAGCAGTATTTTTAACTGTATTTATGGTCTCCATGCTCCAAATACAGTCTGCAGGGAAGTATTCAGGTTGTATTTTATTGTGCAGGTATGATAGGAATGGATAAAAAAAAAAAAATTAAAGATTTCTTTTTTCACTAGCATTAGACCAAACAATCTTCTAACTACCAATTAAGACAGTGCATAACCCCTTTGAGACATTACCATTTTGACAGTTGTAATCTGTTGTACATAACACAAACCATGTTATTTCATGTTGATAAAAGCAGCGATTTCATGAACCAGTTGCCTTAACGTCTGTGAATGAATGTTGATATTAAAGTGTCTTGTATTGTTTTGAAATCCACATGTAATGGACAACTGAACTTCTGTTTCAACGTCTGGAAGAACCATTTTAATGACATTCTGTATGATTATTATCTTTGTGTTTCTGTGTAGTTTAAATACGGTTTTGGGCTTTTGAAATCCACAAAATTCCAGAAGAATAGCGTTTTAAATTTAAAATAAATAAAGCATACAAAATAATACTCAGATGCAAAATAAGGGATAACACTTAGAAATATATCTCATCTCTGTTAATATTTTAAGTGCATTTTGTATATGGTTTCTGTTGCAAGTTTCTAATCATGATAACTTTCACTCTAGAAGGAGGACGTTTTGGGATAGTCCGTGATTCCTGCCGGCAACAAAGTGGGAGTCTTCTCTCTGATCAAGTTTTGGGTTTCCTTTAGTTTTTGAATTTTTTTTAAATACATGAGCAGCTATCATATATATACACCTTTTATGGCACTTTATTTTGCCACACTTAAAAATGTCAGGCTTTTTATAAGCTTGTTTTGATTTCTATATCCTATATATTTATAGCACCTAGATTTTAACAAAGCAATATAGTCTAAGCAGAAAGCCAGAAAATGAGTGGAATGTTTGTACAAATTACAATACGGGTATTTGGTTTTACTTTAAATATGAGATTTTGGAAATCAAAAAAGGAAATCAGATCATTTCCCAGTGCTCTTCCATATTTATAGATGCAGTTAATGTGTCACCAGGGCTGTTATAAACCTTGGTTTTCAATTATAATTCCCAGGTATTATCACAAAACTACTTTAAAAAACAACAGCAGCAAAAGCTTTCCCAGCAGATCATTCTTTTCAGCTAAATAAAGGCTGCCTGACCTGAAGTTCTGTTGTCCTTTCTATGTTGGGTTAAAAAAAAGGGTTTTTGCCTGTATAGGTATTTTTAAATTAAGCTGTAAGGCAGAATGCCTTAGATTCTTGAAATTCAATTGAAGTGTTACAATTAAATTGCCATTTGTAAACTAGGGCTGTGCGCAGAATTTGTTACACATCAGGAGGTATGGCAGGGTTTTTGATGAAAGATTTTAACACGTACAATGTAGCTGTGTTCATTTAGGTAGGTTGGGGGTGGAGAGGGATCCTGTCTCGTTTTGCCCTTTTAATATATATAAATATATATATATTTTTAAACAGCAAAGTTATCCATGGAAGAAACCTGTCACATGAAGAATTTGGTTATCAGTGTGTGCAATCACTTGACCACAGCATGATTTTGAATAGAGTGGTTGGGGACAATAAAATATCTAAATGACACTGGCTTGTACCGGCATTGCAGCTTTGAAATTTCAATGTAAAAAGTCTGTAGCTATATAATTGACAAACACGATCCTGTTTTACAGATTCTTTTTACTAATAAAACACAGAACCGCACAGCCCTATTGTAAAATAAAAACAAGTTTGTGCCTCTGATTTCAAAGGTGCTGTGATGTATGCCTTTGTGTGGAAAGCAGGGCAGGTAAGGCTTGGGAAGGGGAATTGCTTGGGCTAACTATGCAAAATGAGCTGTCAGGTTTCTCTTCGTATTTTCTTGTAAAACTCCAGCTGTCTGGTTTTGTTAAAAATCTACTGGGAATTTATTAACAAAGGAATAAGCAATGGACATATTGCTTGTTTTAAAAAAAAAAGAATGGGAGCTGTTTACACTTTAATGCATTGAACAATCCAGCAATACTTGAGAAACACTACATATACCGTGTGAGTGTTTTGAGGAGAGAGAAGTGTTGTCAATCAGGTATTGAATGGTTTCTTTACTGTCACAAATAAAATTTTTTTAACAATTTAGTCACTTGTGCATGTAATACTTCACTGAGAAAAATCCTGTCCTTTCCCCTGCTGCCACTTTTCCGCTCAATTCAAATCATTCTCCTCATTTGACAGGGACTTTATTCCTTCTCTGTGTGATTCTACCAGTCAGAAGGAGAACCATTTACCATCATCTCCTGCTTTTTAACACATGTATAGTAGTCCTTTTTTAACACCCTGGCACCTGCCTGTACAAACAGAGCTGATGAACTTCTGATGAACTCTGCTAAATAAATTGCTGGCGACTTCAGCAGATGTTCCAGCTATTCAGATCTCTTGGATGAGATCATGCCGTAATTTGTTGAGTCTTAAAGCTGTGACTTATTTTTGAAGGGCTCTCACTGGTACTGCTTGAGTAACAGTTTTTGCAAAGTGTTGCTGTAGCTTAAGAAAGATTGGATTAAATTACATACTTTGTTTGGCTGAATGGTTGACTTTGTCATTTAGCTAACACGATTATGTAGGGAAATGTCACGCGCTTCTCGGCTACATATTAATGATTCACCAAGTACAAGGGGGAAAATTTGTAGGCATGGGCAGGTTAAGTGGCTAGCTCATGGTCACACAGCCCTTGCAATTGAGGGTAGAACAGGGGTGGGCAAAATCCGGCCCATGGGCCAGATGCAGCCCACCAAGCCATTCTATCCAGCCTACAGGGCCCCTAAAAAATTTAGAAAATTAATGTTTATCTGCCCCTGGCTGCCTGGCATGTGGCCCTCGATGGCTTGCCAAAACTCAGCAGCCCTCCACCCCAAGTAATTGCCCACCTCTGGAGTAGAATCTACATTTCTTGACACCTAGGGCCTTTTTCCTGCTGGTGAAGCCCCTCCATCTCTTGGCAAACTGGAACGATGTAGACTGGTTTAATTTCCCTGCAGAGATGTTTTGCATTTCATGTGTAAACTAACCT